CCCAAACTAGTCCAAATTTTGGTAGCAACACAAGTAGAGGTAGGCAGTGACTCGGAATGAGAAAAACATGTTCAAGCAACCTCAGCCGCTTAACATTCACAACCGTATCGACTGACTTCCTTTCCTTGACTAGTATCTTTCGCTTAACCACCACAATGTTCACCAGGGTATTCCACCATAGGCGAGCAATGCTACGAAGACACCTGTGGTCAAAAATCCGTAGTCTCTTCATATTTTTTATTTTCGGCGGCCATAACTAACAGCCGTATAACAGGACAAGATGGACTGTAGTGCAGTACACTAGTCCTTCAATATGTAGTTGGTAACCCCAAACAAGTCTTCTGCATATAAGCTTAGATTTCGTCAGTATCCAGCCCGTTCGGATTAACGTAGTTTCCCAAGTAAATAAAGTAAGCAGTTGACGCCACCACCACTTTAATCCCTCTCCGTAAACCAAGAGTAGTTGCAGACTAGTCCTGTAGCATTATCTTAAATTTCACAGGAGCCAGTAAAATGCATGTTAAACGTACACAGATTTCTGTTCAAGGCGTTCAGAAGACTCCGCATTGAGACAGCGTCTTCCCCTGGTAAAACAATTACATCTGCGTACTCCAAGTCAACAAGATGCCGTCAAGGGAGTACACTAATCCCTGTGAAGTCAGATATATCTAAGGTCACGTTAACTTTTACATCCATAAGGAAGATGAACAGAAACGGTGACACCAAAAGTTGATATCAACTCATATGACAACTCCACATAAGACCCTACACGCACAACTGAATTTAATAAAAACCTATGATGAGGATTATATACTCGCTCGGTACTCACTTCACTATCAGGCATTGCCAAAACACCTCACAGTCGACAGAATAGAATGTCGTCTTGAAGTCGAGACATATACCAGGTGTCGGCTGCTAGGAAGTATACCTATGTTTCGTAACCTAATGAAGGGTGAAAATCTGTCGGTGCAACGTTTTTCAGGTCTGAAACTGCCTTGTGTTTTCGAGTTTGCTGTTCTAAGGCCTATGTTGTGAGTCGGATATCTATGAACCTAAAGAAATTAGGCACCATGTTAATCAAACTGATTCTTCTATGGTTGTCACGGGAAGACTTCTCTCTTCTTATAGACTAGGGTGATCCATGAAGTGAACCATTTTTACAGGACTACCTCTGATTCCCATACACTGTCCAGTACATCAGTTACTCTGCTCAGCAATTCCCTACCTCCTTCCTCACAAACCTTGGCAGGCAAAACGCTAGGTCCCGTTACTGCTTTGCGTTGTTTCAGGTTTGGAACAGCTTCAACTTCGAGGGTGGCTGGATAACCAACGAATACTTAGCTTCGAGCCAGGTCTCGAACAACCGAAGCGTTGCCGTGGACCAGCTGACCCGTGCTTCAAAGTGTTCCGCCCAAAGATCTAGCCATCTATCCTGAAAAGTTATCAGTGTCCCACCTTTCTCGGTGATAGTCTCACCAACCATCGTCTTCTTCTCGTCGATATCCTCATAACACCTAGATAGTTGCTAGGTTTTACCTAAAGTTGATGCCTTTTCCATCTCTCTCGCTTTCGCTACCAACCACTGCTCACGAACCATGAGAATATTCTCGGTCAGTTTACGCTTAAGTTGCTTCCGCTTTTCGTTGTAATGAGAGCCAGCTGGAATCAGTCGGATGACGTGGAAACCCATTGACATTTGCTAACCACATGAAGGTAGGTTGCCAACTGTCTCTACCGCTTAACATCATTCCAGGTTTCCTCTGGGTGAGCATTGTTGTCACGTTCAGATAAATGTCAAGCTATCTCTTGCCTGAGTGTGAACTTAACGTTCTCACCTTCTAATCAAGCACAGACAGACCTCAATGTCACCTATTTTCTGCGACCAGTAAGGCGCAGACACACACGGCCCGGTACTAACGTGTGATCAGAGTCCAAACTGATACCTTAAAAACAGCTGCAATCCACCACCGATCCTCTTCAACGATGGCTCATAGCAATGTGATCTACCTGTGTTAATCGTTGGTTTGAAGTCGGCGGACGCCATGTGGGACAGTATTTCCCCTTATGCCTAGAGTTAGCGCTGGCTAGAAACAAGTGGTTGTTGAAGCAAAATTGCAACAGACGATCACCGTTGTCTGTTCGTTGGCATGGGATTCCGTAAATACCCTCAAGATGTCTTTCTGGTTGGTTCAGCCTCCCTACTTGAGCATTAAAACCACCTGCATTATGACTACATCTGAACGTTTTGCTTTATGTAGCAAAATCGACAGTTTCTCACAGAATTCATCCTTTGTATGGTACACACTACAGTCAACGGAGATTATGAATAGGCATAGGGTAGCCTCACGATCCCTCCTAGTTCTTACAGGTTCATTCAGTCGATCAGCACACACGGATGTTGACTAGTATCTATTAGAGGAGTGCATTTTTTTCACTACAACGCTTTATGATATGCCAACACCAGTGAATCCACGATAGCTGGTCAATGAGTTTCTGGATACTTGTAAGGTGGGTTTTGAAAATTCATTGCATTGGCTAGGTAAGGCCAACCTAATAATCTCACTCGGATCCTATATGAATATCTCACAAACAAATCCATGGTTCAAGATTCTAGAGTTCTAGTAAGAGGTGCCTGCAGTTTGATTTGGCACAAGGTTCGGATGTTGAAGGATCCGATGTGAAAGTGACAATGGGGTCTGAGGAGACTGGAGATATTTCCATGGCTTGGACTGATGACAGTGGATGCAGATTGAGGGGTTGAGAAAGTTGTAAGAGGTCCAATATTGGTGTTAGGAAGTAAAATGCAAAGGGGGAAATAAAGGTGAGGAGAACAAGTTATAGTTGATTGGGTTTGTATACTACGGGAAGCGTGGGCGAATGACACCATTTTGGCTGTCTACACTGTGGGGGGCTAGTTCTTCGTGAGGAACCTGAAGAGGTTCAGTGTGCGACCAAGGGCTCAAAGGACATCTGCTTGAGGTTGGCCACATACAGCTTTTTGGCAAGTTTGTGACTGGCTCTTGCTTACGAACCCAATTATGAATCTCTTGGAGGTATCGACATGGCACGAGGGGGTGGGAGTGTGCTACTTTGTGGGCCAGCCTTTTAAGCCCCCTTCCTATAGGTAAGGGATCATCAGCATGGCACTGCTGGTCATTCAACGGAAGAACCTTACTAATGTCAAACATCCACCCAGCCAGAAGTAAGACTTCGCCCTCGAATCCTTTACACCATAGCATTTTACGCTGACTACACGTGCTTTTTGTCCTACCACTATCCAGCTGACTTTTCTAGTACGTTAGGACGTTGAGGAGACAAGCGTTCCACCAGCATTGGGTTAGTCATGTACATACCCGACCACCATATTAAGGTAGCAGGTATCGTCGGGTAGCTGACGTGTGGATAGTTAACACTAATACGTACGAAGCGAGAGGTTCTGTAAACATCAACGATACAACTTCTGATCCTTCCATAAACACAATAACGAAGTGCTGATATAAGTGCAACCATATTAAAGACAACTATTTGGTAATATAAACAAAGATCTCTGGGTTATCTTACCCATTTTCTTTTTCCCCAGAAAAACTGGCACTACCATCTCTAGATTACCTTTTAGAAATAACATATCATAAATTGTTACATTAAAACACTTAGAACCTTTCCTAGTACATACTCATGAGGACATAGTGGGCCAACGATGTAAGCCTATGTTTGGATGTAGAAATCGAATTACCACGAAGAGGAAATGAGAAGGCTTCAGTTGTTTAATCACCGTCGCCTTCGTAGCGTAGGTTGTGATGTGGTGTTATTACGTCAGTAACCCAGAAGTCAGGTGTAGAATCTTAAGAAGAGGAAAGTCAGTCAATGATGTTATGAATCTCCATCCACTAAGGTGACTGGAACATGTGTTATGCACGCCTAGTCACCGTCTGATTCTTCGTACAATGTTAGGTGAAGTAAGTTCAAGCTGGAAAAAGTCAGAGACAGTCAGAATAAAATATGGCAAAAGTCCCTGAGAGCTGACTGTTAACCTAAAGTATGCAGGAAGTGTGGACTTTCCGGCTGGGGTCCGCATGGTAACGGAGATAAGGAGTTGGAGACTACGTGATATGGTTCAAAACTGGATTTAGTGGTGGAGTTGTTTGTACACATCATCTTATTATAATCGTCATACTGAATTTCAGTACTTTATCATTTCTCTTCCAAAGACTTCCAACTAATTATGGCTGCTTATTTAACATCTTCCCATCTTTCATCTGAGTGCATTTTTGTTTGATATGGTGGTATGAGGTGCGGCAACTTGGACCGATACGCATTGATGCCAATGCTGATTTTGTCGGTCTGGTTACAGACTGCAACATACACTTTGCAGTGAATATTTGTGAGTCCTTATCAAGAAGAGGCGGTATATATATTACCAACTACTATGATATCAATTATGTAATTACTTCTGTGGAGATTTAACCGAGCTGTAGCTCACCAACTTTCGCAGTTAACTTCCAACGAGTGGGTAACAGGCTTAAACCCCACTGTAAACTAGTGAGGTTTGGGTAGCTAGGCAGTATCATCAGCCCTTATACAATGGGTGTTCATTGGCTAGTATACACAGATCGACGCTAATAATTCAGAGTTAATCCTTTGGAAATCAGTGCTCGAGTTCGATCAAAATGCTATTATTAAGACTCCCCTTATCTTCCAGCCATACTGTAATCCTCCATAACTGCTTGAGATGAATCATACCATGAGGTTAAGAGGTTGGGGGAGGCTACTGGAAAGTTTGCAGAACTGAGCCCTACAAAACGTGATCAAGACAGAAACAAACTGCATCAACAGAAAAGAAACAATTACCAGGTCAGCACAAAAGTTTCTATTCATAAGGTGAACCATTACAGAAGTTCGACAAATGAGCAGCATACCAAATTAATGTTCAAACAACAAAGACAAAAGTATCGATATTAGAGGAAGGATTTCAAAATTCGCACGAGCGACTACCGACTTACTTTAAATTTTCTAGAGAATGAACCTTCTTCGGTTTTGTGAGCCCACTTTTTCCTCGTCCAAACATTCTTCAGGATGTAACGCACATTGTTATCTTCTGCACATTCTAACGCTCAATATTCAATACCCAAAATCTTTTAAAGAATTAGTGTGAACTAATCGGATTCTCTGCGTTAGTTCATACTTCTTGCGGAACGGTTCTAGGTCACTGGTGGAGTCTGACACCTGCTGAAGCTATGGTTAATTCGTTGATCGGTTGGCTGCTGATAAAATTTGTAAGAACTGTGTGAATTTTCCAAATAAATATGTTGTAGGTGGGTTAATGAATTGTTGTACCACTAGACACTAGACATGCTGGTCGCAAAAAGAAGACGGAAGATATTTCTGGTTAAATCAATGGAGGGGAAGGTCGAAAAATCAAGGAATAGGAAGCTCGACGGACTGGGAGGAGGAACCTAAGTAGACTTATTGAAGATAACAGTTATAGGAAGAACCTTAATAAATAGGGTGGGATCATAACATCAGAGGGAAGTGAGGGAGCAATTTTTATCATGGGACGGGTTTTAGGAATGGAAGCAGCAATGTTATTAGTGGGGTTTTGGCAACTGAAGGAGACATCTAACAGGGAAACCTAAGTTTATGTCAAGTGGGCGATGATGGAGGCGGTAAAAAGGACTCGGTATAGCGTAGGCTGTGCTAGATTCCGAGGAATTAGTAGGTCATGCCAAACTAGTCCACTACCAATCTGAATGAACCCAAGGCGTGCCACGCTGCGTAGCTCTCCAACCTCTTTTTGAAGCTGTTGACAAGTGGGGTAGTAGCAATCGCGGTGAGCAACGCTTTCCAGTGTTCCTAAACTCTCAAACAGGAAAAGTTTGGACTCATACGCGTTTTCACCTTTGGTGTAAGATTCTCCTTGGGTTATCATAAAGATTGCCACAGTGACCGTTCGACAGGATTCCACCGTTCTGATGACCTGGATCACTTAGCACTTCGTACGTTGTTATCAATTTGCCCTGTAACCCATCGTAGCTGAGGCTCTGTCCTCACAGGGTCTTGGTTGCGTCTCCGTAACATCCTTTGTGGCTTACCTGTGGGCTTTATCCAGAAGGCTCACAGCTCTTTTCAGATATGGTGGTTCAATTACGTTGGAGACCTTTTATTGAGATTGCTTATAGGTCTGAAACAGATTCAGTGAGAGTTCCGGAGCGAAAGCGCTGAGTTCTCTGCACATGAACTGCGGAACTGTGTTAGCCCTAGAGGGATCTCCTGGCAGAAAAGAGCAAGTGTATTAGGTCTTTCTCCATGCTGACGCGGGAAATTTATTCCCCGTAGACACAGTAGGAACTACCTACCATTCCGGGGTGCGGAGAGACATGGTCCAGCATTTATCCAGGTTAAATGCTAGTCGGTTATTGTTCACCCGCTCTGGCAACAATCCTATGTCGCCTTGTAATACAGATGTTTCTGGTTCCAATGTCACACCTGTCCATAACTTAATATGCTGTCAACAATATGCAAAATCAGTTTTACTTACCTATTAAAGTCCTTTGATCTCGTTGCACTGACTTTCAGATCTTCGAAAACAATCCCAAGTTCATAATCATTCACGATGAACTAGATTCAGTTGCTCGCTTTTTTCTGGACAGTCTGACAGATGGTCGGGTGTTGGTCAAGCATGTCTGCCATGCGACTGTGATGCAGATGAGTGTCTCAAGTATCATATAATAGACAATCCTTTCAGCGGGCTGCAAAAGAAAGGTTCGACGAGTGAAAAGACAGACAAGGAGGGCAATGGGGAGGAAGTGGGAAGGAAACAGAACAAGTTCAGGGAAGAAGGGCAAGGCAGTGGTTAGGAGAACTATGATGAATTCAGTTGTATAGCGGAAGGGAAGTGGAGTGGAAATAAACGGAAAAGATTGCATAATATTTAATGAAAATAGAAACGCGTCATATTAGTAGTGAAGTAGTGATGGAGAGTAGAGACGTCTAATAGGGTGTTAGAAGATTAAGTCAACTTCATCACACAAGTGGTGAACAGATTTCAAATTTGCTGCTGTGGGACGGGAAGCTATGAGCCTGTATTAATTTTTTTCCAGTAGATTTCTGGGCTTGTCCAATCCCCTTTTGAACGGGTCAGTTGATGATGCGAACATCACTTCTTCTAGGAGTCGGCACCAGGAGTTGATTACCAAATGCAAGAGCCTGTACTCTGCGGAAACTGTTTGTCCTTTGCTTTTGTAGCTTCTTACTATGTCTTCTGTGGTGTTCCGACCTAATGGGAGGGGAAAGAGAAGATAGATCAGTGGATCATGTATAGCATGATTAGGTCTCCCCTCTGTCTGTGATCGGATAAAGAGAAGAGGTTCAGCTCCTCAAGTTGATCTTCATAGGCAAAGCTAGCCATCAAAGGAATCAGACGAGTGGCTGCCCTCTGAACTCTTTCTAGAAGGCCTGCACCACTCTTCAGACAAGGATTTGCCGCCTGTGTACAGTTTTCTAATTTAGATCTAACTAAGGATGTGTATAAGATGGTGAACACATCACCACTTATTTTTTAAACGTTCTACGTAGTGCCTAAAGTGTCCTAAAACTCCGAACTGCCACCAATCGACAGTGTGACGTGGTTTTCAAATCATAACTCAAGTTGTCCGCCTTACCTCAGAGATCAATGATTATTTCTTTGTTTTTGAGGATGCATTCTGAAAATAGAGAAACCATTCACAATACAGTTCTTTCACACCGACTGGTAGGTTTGCATGGTTTTCTACGTGTTCTGTAGTGCCTGAAGTTGAAGGGATAGGGAATAAAAAGCACTTTAATGGTATTGCGTTAGGGTGCCCACCCCAATATTAAACCATGACTTCAACTCTGCAAACCCACAAATTTAACTTCGAGTAGAATAACGGTCACAAAACATTCAGAAACTAGGGTACAGATCTCCTCTAGAGGGCCATCACGTGTAATTGATCCTAACAATAATGTTTTAGCTATGATCAAGCTGACACCATATGTTGTCAGAAAATCCCTGTAAAGCGAAAATTTCATTACAAAAGGTTTTCGTTGTTACTGTTTTGCCAAAACCTCAAAGTTCAATAGCTTTGCATCAGGATCGATGTAAAAATGAATCAAACATGGATATCTCTATGCTTTTAAAAAGTAAAAACCTACCTAGAACGTGCAGAAATTTTCTAAACTTATCTTACTGATAAATTATTTTAGCTTTATTGAGGTATTCCTGACGCTTATGAGTTCAAATTGGGTCATCATGCGCATGAACTCTGAATTCAGAACATTTTTATTGTTGATCCTCAATTTTCCTAAATTTTTCATTTGCGAATACAATGCACTTACTGAGTCTACAGCTCACGCTTTTCCAATTTTGTTCCAACGCGTTCTGACACTTTTCTATTCTGAGTTTTCTCTGACTTAGGGGGAATTTTTTTCAACTAATAAGAAATTTCGTAATCAGTAACTATGTAGCTAGGAGTTTTGAAGGGGGAGAGGAATGTCTTTGATTTTTAGTGCTTCGTCATTTGGTATTAGTCTGTGAAATCTATCACTGATTGCCGAGACCTGCCAAATGTCGGTCACCTGAAGCGAAAACAGCTTTGAAGGTTGCTAGAATTTATTGTTGCCTAAGAAAACCAAAGTTGTAATCTCACCTGCAAGTTATACAATGCGATTACAACTACCTAACTATAATCCCTCTTACTACCAAAATTTAACGTTACCACCTGGTATCTGTCAAATGACTCACCAAGATTTAAGACACGTTTGAAAGTATGTCAACTAACAATAAGGTAAGAGATGCTGATGAGAAGAAAAGCCAAACATGACCAGGTTCACAACTCAGAATGTGTTATTAATGGAATAGGTGGCAGAAGCATACCTCGCCATGATGATAGTTTTGCGAACGATTAACAATGTTCAGTTGTTTTACGTCACATGTTGATTTAATGGTATGTCTGTCGTTACCGTGATTTAGATCATTGGATTTCACCACCTTAAGTTAAAGAAGAGGCAACAGCATTAGATAATACCCATCTTTCAATTTGTTTTCAACAGACTTTTTAAAGTCCGATTATCTTTTTCATAACCACTTCTGTTAATGGAATAAACGGTCTTGATAGTAGTTGTAAGTGTGAAGTCACAGATTTCTGAGGTGGCGTTTTCTTTTAGTGTTCTCGTGCCAGTAACCGGTGAAAATCTTGAGTAACTTGTCATATGAACATGTTGTATTGTGGTCTGCACAATCACTGAAATTTTTGTGCCTTTAGCTACATGATATTTTCGATTCGATGAAGATTGATCACCCGTCTGGGTGATAACATGACCACTTATTACTGTCACAGTACGATTACAGCTGCAATACAGATTGTATAAATCTACAGTTACGTGAGTAGACTCCCACTGGTTCAGACGTCTATGAACAAAGCCCCAGTTTACTGCAGTTGGTTTTCGTTTATTCGTTTATCTGTAAACCACTAGAACAGTGAAGCACATGAATACAGCTAATTAACTTTTATTTTAATTACACTTTTAGCTACAGCAGACGAACACAAAATAGCGTGTGAAGAAAGAATATGAAACTTCCTACACACCAATCTACCTTCCAACCAACCTCCATACCTATCTTCCTACCTCATTTAGTCAGTCATTATCGACATGCCTAACGGCCTAAGTTACCATATCGAGTATCGACACATCAAGTGAAAATCCATCAAAATAAATGATATAAAAATGAGGGAGAAAGTAGTCAAGGTGGTTGGAAGTCATGAAAGAGTGCAACATGGAATGAGACAATGTTGAAATTCATTTGGACAATTAAGATGAATACATACAAATGTGCCACTGAAATCGATTCCGATCCGTATCACTTCGGGTCTTCAGTTGTCGATTTCATTTGCAATGCAGATACTAACCGTAAAATCTAATTATGACTGGACGGTTCAGGATATCAGTCACAGACTTAATAGATTGATTTCATACCTTAGTCCGACTGCCGGGAACCATTTTGGAAACCAAAACAATTTCAGCGAACATTATACGAAGAAGCAGTCAGTG